CAGCTCCCCGGCCCCAGGGGAGGCTGGCCCCTTCCCTGTTTGAGGTAGTCCCCTGTACTCCGGTATAGCCAGGGATGCCTCTTCAGATACGCTTCTTTCACATCCCGCTGATGTGGCAAACGAGCAACCAACAATTCATCGCTGCTGCGTGTTTCTCTCCTGCCGTTTCTGCTCCTACAGCAATAAGCCTCGTGGAGGGAGCTGCGGTGTGTGGTGCTGTGCCCGGTGTTGGACAGACCTCCCCACTGCTGGAGTGCTTTGCTGCTACAGCTCCTTACCTCTGGGTCACTTGCCTGGATCTTGTTAGTTTGATTCAAGTTTAAACCATTTCTTCTCTACAGCTCCATTTACAAGTCCACTTTAAGCCATCTTCCCACAGCTTGTCCACTTGTGACATCTTTGCCCACTGTCTTACAGTGTTGCTCTAGCTTCCATGCTGCTCTTTGTGCCAAGAACAGAGTCCATGCAACAGTTGCCTTATTTCACTGCTTCTCCCTCCTTTACACCTGCAAGAAGTCAGACCACTAATTAGAACTAAGTTTAAGAGTAGTTAAAGAAAGATCCTTTTATGTATTTACTAACAAGAAAATAATTTAAAATATCTGCATGTTCTCACTAAGATTAGCTTTGCCTTTACTGCCATAGGGAGCAGTACTTACTCCTTATATGTCTGTCTAGTTCCATCATAAGCTCTTAGTGCAGTATCACTGTTATCTCACAGACTGACCTCTTGATCCTTCTGGAAGCTGTCACTACTATTTACCTGTATCTCAATGAGTAAACAGATAAAGTGGTTATCAGAAATGACCAATTCCATCCACGTTGTTTCAAGAAGGAGCAAAAGAAACCATGTTCTCAGCATACATGATCTATGACTTAGATTCTCATAAAGCATATCACTAAAATGGACATGCCTTTTTAAAATTGGTCTACACTTATACTTACACAAGGACATATTTTAGTTGGGGACATGATTTAACAATAGGGTTGTTTTTAAACAGTTTTTACAAACGCTAGCTCAGCAAGGGAGGAAGCTTAACTTTTAGTGATCTCACTGTGTGCACCTTGGAGAGGTGACACAGGCATGTTAAGCTACAGCCACAATAAATGGAGGTGACTAAGGCGTCCCTCTGAGGACCAAAGCCCACATTGTGGGGTGAGCATTGTGCAACAGAACATCAGAGTTGTGGTTCCTGGGGGGCCATATACGACAGTTTCATAACTTTCAGCGTTTCCTAACCTTGTAATTTCAGATACCATACTGGGAAGTAGAGGAGAGGATTTTTAAAACATTTCACTTTCTTCTTTTTATTGTGGTTTAATAATCACATATACTGAGAAAAATAGTTTTGTTATGGGTAGCCTCTGCAGTGAGGGTTACAAATAGTGTCACTTGTCAGCAAGTGAGTGGCTTTTAGGAAAAAGACATTTAACAAAAAGCTATTTTTAAACGCTTTCTGGGGGAAAACAGAAACATATAGTCTGCTGCTCTAACCAAAGTGCATAATGCTGCATTTGTAAGTCATTTTACCTTGCTTAGGAAGGGTCCAGCACATTGGTCATTCCAATGACCAATGCTGGGATTGGAATCCCAGGGCTCGTAATGCAAAACTACTCTCACCTTCTTCCAGCAAACAAAAAGGAACTAGCTAGTATACAGAAAAATCCCTGCAAACTCAACTACCTGCAGCCTCAGTGGAGGAGCAGCTGCACAGTATGGTCTTGGTTTAAGATCCTGGCACATACCAGCCCAAAATTGTATCATGACCTGGGAGCGCACCTGCTCTTACGACAGATTTCATGACAGGTACATCCATTCTCCCTGTCCTCCCGGATCCACACCGGATCATTTCACAAGGAATCGCACATAGCCCACCCATGCGCAGTACCACAACACACCTGGTTTGGAGAAGCATGACATAATCCTGGTGCAGCATCCAAGGACTGCTTTAAGGGACGGGAGATGGGGAGGGGAGTGGGGGGAGTGGAGCTGCAGTCCTCTGAACCTTCTCCCTGTCATTTTCAGAGAACATAGAAGATGGTTACAGATCCTCACAATATAAATGCTTGTGTTCTTTATACAGGCTAAGGCCAGAGTTTATCAGCATAGAGTTGTACTCACATCAGGTGTAGAGGGGAAGCCTTCCTCTTTCAGCCACTTCGTAGCAATGATTTCCTTGTCCCAACTTTGTTTCATCACCAGATGTCTTTGCAGACTGGCAGCTTAAATCTCTGTAACAGCAGGTTGTATGTACCTGTTGCATGTGCTCTCTAGCTTCTTTATTATGAGGTGGGAAACTCATTCTGACTGTAATCCCACCTAAGTTAAAGGGAGAAAGTAAGCTTTCAGGTATTACACACTTTTGCATGTAAATTCCTGTGTATGAGCTGGCATTTTGTGTCTGTTAACATGCTCCTTGAATTTTTGCTCTATTCAAGAATTAACTATTTAAAATAAAGGCACTAAGGCTTTTCAGACTGATGAATGTACATTAGCTCTGCTACAAAACTTAGCATGATTCTTAGCCATTTTACAGGTAATTATCAGTATAAAAAGTGAGGTCCACAGTCCATACAATACCTTCTTACCTGTACATTTGGGAGCCTGTAGGCAAGACTATTTCTTTGTCCCCATCTTCAACTGGGAAGCAGAGTGAAATAGTGCGCATGATACAATAGACCTATAAAAACAAGAGTACAAGTGAAAAGGAAGAAGCATGAAATATTTTCTAGTAAACAGTCCTGACTTCTTTCATTAAAAATACCAAAGAGCTGAATCATTTACTATAACTAATACATTTAACAACAGAAAGAAATATCAGCTAAACCAATTAAATCAAATTCGTTCCGGGGCAAATTCATTGACAAATACAGTCTGTTGTGCAGTGAAAGGGACCCTTGGCAGTCAATTCCCCATGAAATTCATACAAAAGAGAAAAGGTTTTCCAGTCAGTTAATTCATACTTTACTACTTCAGAAAGCAAATTCAGCAGCCCCTTTTTTCCCCTGTAGCTCAGAAATAGCATGTTTATAAATTCAGTCTGATACTATCAGACTCAAACAAGATCGCTGGAAATTCAGCAGAAGCTGCTGCTGTCATTTGACTCTACTTACCACTTTCATAACTAAGGCTTGGGAAAAGACATTGCTTCACTAGTTGAGCAGTTCCAGTTGGCCAGGGTTGGTTTCTTTGTGGAGAACCAAGATGCTGAATTGCAAAGAATATTTAAAAGTACAGAACTTTTCCCTGTGCCCTTTGGCTGCCTGGAGGTTTAGGGAGCTCACCTGAAATCAAGTCAGGATTTAGACAAGTTAACTCCTGCTCTTACCCCTCCTTAGAAATGACATATAACTAGTCCATAGGCATGGTGATTGAGCCTATGGGGAATGGTCATTCAGATTACCTCGAGTTGGCCACTGGGTGGTCACCGAACTAGGTGCAGTACAACTACAGACAATTTGCTCCTGTACCTCATGAGCAGCGATACAAGGTTAAAATAACTGAGGTGCCTAAAGCCAATCTGGATGCGCAGAAGAGACATGGTGCTAACTGCCCCAGTTCCAAGAGCCATAGTTTCCCACAGGCCAGTGCCCAGAATATAATAATGCTATGACAAGCTTACTTACAAGTTGTGCGATTAAAGCTGTATTCTTATTTTAGATAAAGGTTTTTATCATCTGGTCTACCACTGTAGCTGGGACAGAAGCCAGTTTTACAAGCTCAAACCCAAACTGGTGGCGTTTAGCAATTACAGGCATGCCTTGAGAGATTTATTGCAGAGAACCTAGATGGTAGAAGAGAGCGTTGCCTCTTTTTTTTTTTTTGGACATAGTTTTTCAGGTCGGTTTTATCTGCAGCTGTGTGCAGAACTTTTCAAAGATGGAAGTCTCCCTGGGAGTACGCTTGTACCTTCACTCCTGCTGATTTCAACAGGACTTGAGGCTAGCAGCTTTACACAGGACAGTGGCTTATAGCCCAACTGCCAGCAATGACTGGAGACCTGCTGCAGGCTAGCTATTGCTTTAGCTAGTAACAGTCATTCCTGGCAACACAAGCAATATTACTTTTTGCTGGGAAAGAAAGAAAAGAAACAGAAATGGAGGAACAGGAATGGAAGGGAAGACTCTACATGGTGTACATGCCCAGCATTACACAGTCATATAATTCACTCCATCCTAGCATCAGTTTGCTGGAAAGCCACAGGAGGAACTGCAGGTGTCCATGAAATCCTAGCTTTTTGCCCTGTTTGCCTCCAGCAAGCTGCAGTACAGGCTTTCTCCGGAGGTGAAGTTAGCGTTTCCTACTCTAAGCCGCAACCACTCCCTATCGACAGTGAAGAACAGGTCCCCCTAAGTTAATAGATACAACCTAAGAAATCCAGTATTATCTGAGGTACTTTGTTCACTGATTTTGATCATGCGAGTTCCATTTCAATTAGTCATAGCAATATTGAATAATGAATAGAGACGTATCCCTTAACATAATCTACAAAATGCAAGAAAGCCTTAGCCAGTAGGGCAGCTTTGTAAGTTTTAGGCACTGCGTTTTTGTGGAAAATCGAGGCCAGATAAAGATTACTGAAATTGGACTGACATGTAGTTTGTTTTTCTGTCAACTCTTAAGGATGCTGGTCTCTTTTTACAGGAAAATTGTGGATAGAATAGACGACAACAAAGATGGCTATCTCACAACAGAGGAATTAAAAAACTGGATTAAACGGGTACAGAAACGCTATATCTATGAAAACGTGGCTAAAGTATGGAAGGACTATGATCTAAACAAGGACAATAAAATTGCCTGGGAAGAGTACAAACAAGCCACATACGGTTATTATCTAGGTAAGATAACATTTTCAGATTATATGCTCAAAGACTATTGAGATTATAAGACATGATTTCATGCTTTACAGTCAACAGGAGTTTGGTGTCACATTTAGGACTCTTGAAAATCGCATTAAATTTTATAGATGCTCAGAGGTCAAAAGCACTTCTTAGTTGTTTATTGTAGCCATTTCCACATGGGTCACCAGAAAACAGAAGGGTTTGTAGACGGATTATTAAATATACTGACAAAGCTGAATTAAAAGTTTTTTCCACTTAGAAATATATATTTTTTTAACATGAAAAATAGTACTTTAATTAAAAAATAATATATTGCATAATTAACCAGTATTTGTTAATTCAGTCTCTCTAAACTCTTAAGATTCTAGATGCTAAAAATTTAGGGTGGGTCTAAGCTATAACAAAGTTACTGATTAAAATAGTTCTTGCGTAATAACATGCTTCAGACTGTGATTGACTGCAAATGAAAATCCTTAACAAACCAGGCAAAAGAAACATATTAAAAAATACACCTGAATCTTTTTTTCCCCCACATACATTCCCTTTGTGTTTTATAAGTTAATGAAGGGAAAGGATGAGAAGAAATCACTTAAGCTAAAGGGCAATTCTGACAGAACAACAAATTGGTATTAATGGACCATTTATACTGGAAATGAGAAGACAATGTCTACCTACCATAGAGGCAGCTTCTGGAGGAAGCTTCCAGTAGCAGTAATAATTCCAACGTCTACCTTAGATTAAAATGGAACTTATTACATTTGTGGAAGGAAATACTTGACACACCATCCCTGCAGCAGTATCCCTGGGGGCCCTTCTCAGCTCTTTGTCTTTGCTCTCTGTAATCCCCAAGATTTGGGGAACAGCTACTACATTGTGGTCTTGTGTTAATGCACACTTAAAACTCCCATCTGTAATTCCTGGCCTAGTCTTTTTCAACTGTGTTTGTCTCCCAACATGTGAATTATGGAATTGTTATAATAGGAATATTTTTCATGTTTGAAGTCAGCTTAGTGATCCTATTTTAAAAATTATAATCAAATACCGTTCGTTTTATGCCACTGAGCACCCTGAAAAAATGTCATTGTTTTAAACTGAAAATAATTGTTGGGTTCCCTGAAGCAGAGGTGTAGCAGTTGGATAATTTCAGTCTGCCAGCTTCTGAAATCACTTTCCTTTGGTTTGCTTTCTTTTTGAAACTGAAAAGTTGTGTAGATCATACTGATTCCTAAGAAGAATAAAACTTCTGTGAATGAAATCTACCCCAAATACTGCCTAAGAAGTGCTTGTAAAAGCAGATTAAAAAAAATAAATCTATGAAGGATGATATACAATGCTGCAAAATCCATTATCCTGGATTCCAACAGAAGGAACTCAGACATTTACCTATACTACTAAGTCACCTTTAAAAATCAAACCAAGTGCTTGACACCTGAATTTAAAACTTCACAGGAAAGAGAAGTTCCATTTTAATACAGCAGCTATTCTGGCAATAAGCCTTTGTATTTCTAGACTCTAACAGCAAATTGAGGTACTTTGTTGTGGTAATATGTCTTAAAAGGAACATAGTTTTGAAATCATCTTGATTAATTTGCAGAAAATCCAGAAGAATTCCAAGATGCAACTGATCAGCACAGTTTTAAAAAAATGCTGCCCAGAGATGAAAGACGATTCAAAACTGCAGATCTGGATGGAGACTTAGCTGCCACTCGTGAAGAATTCACTGCTTTCCTTCACCCAGAGGAGTTTGAGCATATGAAAAACATCGTTGTCTTAGTAAGCAGAGCAAAACCAATGCCATTGTTTTTACTTTTTTTTTTTTTGGATGAGCTTTGAAATGCTTCTCTAACCTTTTTATGCAGGCTTTAGAAAGAGACACACACATAATAGCCAAATGGGGAACAGAAAGGGGTGCCTTTCATGAAGTTCATTTGATTTAGAGCTCTCAGTATAAGAAAGACTTGTTAAATGCACTTAAGAGAGCTCCTAAATGGAATCAAGAAACAGTCTTGGAGCACGGACTTAACACCAAAATGAAAGGAAGGGTATGCTGACACGTGGCAGCTAAGTGTTTGATGCAAGCTTGTATCTGCCCCTAACTTAAAACTTAAGCGTGGTGTCCAGTTCATTCATGTGCATGGAATTTTTTCAACATGAAAGAATATTTGTATATTCATTGTGTAAACAAGAATCACATTGGAACCAATGAGAGTACATTTGCCTGTGTATAAGGGCAGGTCAAGGCCTCAAACATGAAATGATCAAAGAGGTGAGTAGCCAAAATTCTCAGTTCTCTCTTGATTACTTCAATGCAAAACTATTTTGCAGGAAACCTTAGAAGACATAGACAAAAATGAGGATGGTTTTGTGGATCAAGATGAGTACATTGGTAAGTGTTGAGGTTTGTTTCTTATATAGTCTCCAGTCCATTTGTCCATCTTTGAAATTTGCAGCAGTATTAACAACCCAAAGATGAACGTTTCTGTGCTCCGGTTCAACTATTTTAAATCAACCATCCAATCCAGAAAGTTTAATTTCATTTTAGGCAGATAGTAACATCACTAGCAAGGGGTTCCTTACACTGTACAGCATAAGGAAGTGTACGTCTCTTAGTCTCATATAATTTGGCTAAGAGGGTCTAGAATAATATTTTTTGTGACAGGAATACTCTCTATACTTGAGCATATTAACAGCCTTTTGAAGGCATTGTTTAGAAATGCAGGAGGATCAGAAAGTGAATTAGTCTCTTCCCAAGTTTGAATGGTACTTGACTATGCAATATAGCTAGGAAGCACACATTGCAAAGAAGAAAATTCACCTTTTTTCTACTAGTTATTTTCCATTAGTTATATCTAATTAGTAAGAACCCGTATTTCTCTAGTGGTTTGTATGGTGATGCCATTGTTTCTTCTAGAAATGCATTAAAAATGAACTGTGTAAAAATAGCACTAAGATTTAAGATTCTCAAAGAAGTGTGAAGTACGTGAAAGTAAGCTGTGCATTACTTCAGTGGCAGAAAGAGAACGAAATGGGGAACGTCAGCAGCAGATCAGTCACAGTTAATTTGCACAAACTTCAGTCACACCAGGCAGTTAGCTGCTGTCTTGCACTTAGACCTATGAAGACAAAACGGAAGCAGGACTAGAGATCAGCAGTACATAATACATTTTAGCCTTTTGAATCATTATGCTGATACCAAAAGCTAACTTCTGCCACTGCACTCACTTTCATGGGTTTTAAATCAAGAAAGTAGCACCAGGAAAGCATTAGTGCAAACTCAGATGAATCTTTCTGTTTCTAGTGGTGCTATAAAGATCACTTCACATATAATCAGGAACAATATACACACGTTAATTAATGGCAGGGGGTTTCTATTCCTTGTAAATTATATTTAGCCTCAGAATGTGAATGCTATTCATTTATGACTGAAATAACAGAGCAGCATAATTTCCACAGTAATTTCAGTTCATTCAGTGACATTACCTACATATAATTATAAGGTAATTGTCAACATTTGTTACCATGTGAATGCTGGTTTTTCTTGTCTTCTATAGATAGGAACATAGAATGTTCTAGTCACGATCACCCCACATTGGCAAGGATGATAAAAATCAAATTGACAGGACATGTCAGTTGCTTCAAATAAACAATATAATTTGCACTTTAAAAAATGAAAAAGAAAGTGAATGTGTTGTCTGAAGTTTTCTTCATGAGTTGAGGAAAACTACGCTTAAAATACTCCTACTTCCCTTTTTCAGATACAGTTTTTAAAATTTCTGATCAAGCTGGGGTTAAAAAACAAACAGAAACCCAAATGTCTTTTTTGGTATTTATAAGGAACAACAAAAAGAAGTCCAAAAATTTCAGTCTTTAGATGAGGTATTTGATGGGGAAGTCTGCTGAAGGTTATAGAACAATTCTTCCTTCCTCCTCCTTCCTTCCTCCTATTTTGTCTTCAACAAAATTTGGTTTAGATTTTATACAAGCAGCGAAGCAAAACATCCCTAGTCATGTTAAGCAGAGAGAACTAAATTCGTATTGTGCATGAGCAGGTAACAGAGTATTTCAGGGACACTGTGGACAGTCCTGCCAGTAGAGAACATCAGCCTACTGTACACGCTCACACTGCAGGCTGGGGGGAGGTTATTCCTAGATTTGAGACCAGCATTTATACTTCCTATAAATAACAGCCAGCCTCTGGCCCTGAGACCATCCATGTGGGGTGCACTTTTCCTTAGCACATCCTTGAAAACCAAACCCAAAAGGCATAGGAGTAGTATCACAAAGCAGGCTTTAATTATAAATAGAGAAGTGGAAGGCTTGAGAATTAAGCAGCCCTTATGAGCAGGAAACAATTGATTGGCCACAGTGACCAGAATAGTAAAGTAGACACGCCACTCAATTTGGAAGGCCTATGCTGTAAAGAACAGATACAAATCACTTGCTCGTAATAATCACTGCTACTCTCCCAACTCTACACAGATAGCTGCTGCCACTGTGGCATTTTCCTACTGATGCTTCTTAAATGTAGCACAGGACTGATGTACAGAGCAGCTCGTGTATGTACTCTATGCATCCTGTGTCACAAATGGTATTCCATCCCAAGGTACCAATCTATGACAAGTGCACTGCCTGTGGTTTCTCACACAGAATGCACCACTGATTCATAATGACTTCTTCAGGTCTGTCTTTGTAGAAGAGTACCTTCTACTGGAGTGTGCTGCAGCACTGCATGGTGCAGTGAAAAAAGGACTCATCGACTAAGATGAATTTCTCTTATATAGACCTCTCTAAAAGCAGGACAAAAGCATTCAAGTTCCACTTACCACTTTTTGTTTTCCTAAATTTCCCCTGTGCCTTTTTTGCCTTAACCACTCTGCTGGCTGGATTCTGATCTTATCCACAAAGACATTTGCTGGCAAGGACAAGATAAAAGTGCTGAGTTCCTTTCTCCCCATGTGACTGAGCCCAGCACTAAAGCTTATGATTGCTATTTAACTAAAGACCCTTACAGAATTTTTTTCATTCTGAAGTTCAGTGGATGATGGCCTTTGGAAACGTTCACCTCTCATGCTAGCTTTACCAGCAGTGCAGTTACAATACAAGGGTAATGTAAGAATGGACAGAATCACCAGCAGTGAACAAATAGGCCTGAGAGAAGATACACGCAACTACTCTATTTACACCCCACATTTCATTTTCTGTACAGAGAAACACTGTGCAAAGAGTGAAAAATTTAGTCTTCCTCTGAGGAACACTGTGCAAGTGTCTTTAGTTTGTGCATAATTTGCAAATTAAATATGATTGGAATGAGACCTTTATTTCCTCTCCAGCTGATATGTTTGCAAATGAAGAGGGTGGACCAGAGCCTGACTGGGTGATTACAGAGCGTGAACAGTTTTCAGATTTTCGTGACCTCAACAAGGATGGAAAGATGGACAAAGAGGAGATTCAGCACTGGATTCTCCCACAAGACTATGATCATGCACTAGCTGAAGCCAGGCACTTAGTCTATGAATCGGATGTAGACAAGGTATTTAGTGTTCTAGTATTTTTTTTTTGAAGTTATATAAGGTGGTGTGTTTTTTTTAAACATATCAGCTAGCAAGAAATTATTCCTAATAACTTTTCGTATTAGTACACTTTAAATGGTGTTTTAGAGGCTAGAATTGCTAGTGCATTAATATATCAATGCTAATTTCAGTTGGTAGGGTTAGAATCACAAAGTAAAAGTAGTAAAATGTACTTTATCAGCTCTAGAAGTCCCATTGGCTTACATTAGGTTAGATAAGAAATTATTTATCATCTTAAACCTGGAAGTTTTAACACATTAGAAATATTCTTTTTCCTTTTAAGAGTGGTCGTGGGTTTTGTATGCTAATTTAGACTGTAAGAGAAAAATTAAAGATACATTACATAGGAGGTAGCAAAGAAAACCCCCATTTCTATAATCAAACACACATCTTTAACTTAAAGACTGGCTCAATGCATCCATTTCCTCTAACGTGGGAAATTAATGGTTCAGAAGATCCCAGACGGTGATCTTCAGAAGTGTAATGTGAGCAAAGCTGGAACCTGAAAAACCAAAACACTCTTACACAGAGTGTGTGTAAATTGCTAACATAAGCAACTATCTTCAACAAAATACACCAGAGGATTTTAATTTTTATTGTTAGGAAGGTACAACCAAACCACAGGGCAAAACTGCATACCAGATAACCCATATACTGTTTGGGAGTGAGTTAACTGCAAAGAACTTTCAATTAGCAGTTTGACCCAACTGAAGCCAGTGGGACGTCTGTCTTCCACTGGGGTCCAAATTTCACTCACCATGACAGCTATAGTGATTCCTGAACTGCAGTCTGCTGCTTTGAAGAACTGTCTATTTCCCAGGGCTCTTCTAAGCCTGTGCTGGTGAGTCTTTTACCTGGCTTTGAAAATGTTCTTACAGAGATTTTATTTTCCTCCCACCAGGATCAAAAACTAACAAAAGAGGAAGTTCTAGACAACTGGAATATGTTCGTTGGAAGTCAAGCTACTAATTATGGGGAGGACCTCACAAGAAACCATGATGAACTATGATACAATGTACCAACCAGTATGCCACAGACCTTTTCTCCACTTTACTGAAATCACTGTGTCCATCCCCTTTTTTTGGAGAAGATGGGCAAGGGACACACTCACAACTGAATGACTTGCATTAATATATTTTTAACATGCCAGCTTATTACCTCAGAAACCGCATAGAAATAGCTTTTTACTCTTTTCACATGGTTAAATACAATACCTAATCACTACAGTTTTATTTTGGAAAAAATAAAAAGGTAACTTTTCTTAATAGATTAGAGCCTGATCTGGAAAAGGCACTTCTAAAACATAATTGCAAGGATCTTTAATAGTGAAATATTTTCTTCAAATACCCATTTTTACTATAGTGAAATGCAGCTAGGATTAGAAAGAAACCTAATGTTTAAACAGACTAAGTTATTTAGTCATCTTTTTTAATAGCATATAACAATTTAGAGTTATAATTTGACCCTCCTATACAGAGAAAAGGTTTGACACAACAAAATCCACAAACTTTTTCTCCACACTTTTTTCCTCTCCCAGTTTGGGCCAGAGGTGCTGAAGAAGGTATCCAGCAGCCCTCTGGTTCATAGCTTTACAAGTGCAACATGTACAACTGGCCCTTCTCTCTAACCCCCATCACAGTGCAGAGACAGCACACATGGCCCAACACCCCGTGCTGGCATTCCTCAGCGAGGGTTGTAGAGTTCATAGTGACAGCTGCTCCTTCTGACAACAGAATAACGTACAATTGTTTGTGGGCTGTTCGTTATGCTGTTTCCTAGGAGGAATTATGCCACATGGAGCACAATTTATCTCACGCTTTTCGCACTTTACCCAAGCCATACTCTTGTTCACACAGTGTGAATGGCAGCAGTTCTGTGATGGAGAAAGAATGAGACATATCACCCCTCTGGGCCTTCTGTCTTCTGTACCACATAAGAAGACAGATTTATGTGGCTAAAGTTCTGGTTTTGTGTGTATATACATATAAGTACATGTTACTGAAGCAACTACATGAAGACAGCTTTCCTTCTGAAGAAAGGGGTAAGCTTTCCACACAGGTGCTTTTTTTTTTACTGTATAATGTGAGCTATTACATGTATATTTTTATATACCCAACTTACGTAAGTTTGGTTGGTTTTAAATGTACTGGTTTTAAAATAAGCACAATAAAACCAATACTTCTTTTTGATACTATGAAGGTGCAATAACACTAACGGACTAGCATAGAGAGATGATGTGAAAGCAGGAACCAAACCTTTAAAGCCAGTAGTTCCCAAAGCACTGGGTCATTGGCAGCTCCTGCAGCACTGGGTGGTCATCTACAAACAGCAGCTGGACATGCAGCACCAACTGTTTCTTCTTCACCTCATTACAAAAAAAAAAAAAAAAAAGGCTAGAAATAAGTCCAATATACATAGTTGCTACTGCTATCACTAGAATCTATTCTGAACACTAGGAGATTAGGGCTCCACAACAGCGTTCACTTGGAGGTTCCTTGAAGGTTTGGTGTACAGCATCACACACTGGTGATCACACAGCCATCCAGAGAGGAGCTCTGAGAATCCCAGGTTGTGATATACTTCAGCAATTTAACAAATTTGTGAAAATCATCATGAGACACAATGCAGAACTGTAACCTCCATAAACATTGTCATTTTTATAACGTCTTATAAGAACTGTGATGAAATATTTTACATCTTCCAATTGAAGACAATTAAATCTAGATATCAAAGTCTGGCAGAGATGACATGTTCTTGCTAGCACAATTATTAAGCTTTTGGTGAGCACTTCTTATGACATTGCCAGCAATGTCTCTGAAAAGTCCCTACCTCTTCCACTAACACACAGTAGGACAAACGTCAAAAGACATAAGTGAACTGTTTTTGCGATTCCAGTACCCTCAAGTTAAATAAATGCCTAAATGCAGTGTTATTTGAGAAGCAATAAAATTGTATCTTGGCACATGTAAAAGATTATCTGTTTTGTTTATGACTTGGATTTGGAAAGGTTGATTGTATTCAATAATCCTAACAATCTTGAGAACTTTTTTTTTTATAGTAGCCCTTTCATGCTAAATTTTAACATTTTTATATTTTAGTAACAGAATTGCAGTACTCTCTCTGCTTAGATTATCTTCTGCTGTTTCAGGAAACAATACTTTAAAAGACCTCAAAAAAAGCTTGTTTCCTGCAAGTGAAACTGCAGCTCAGACTGGATGCTTGAGCCAAGGATTTTCGCTGGAGTCCAAGGGAAGGTTGTTCGCTAACTCTTGTTGAAATTCAGTGGGAGTTGGGTGCTGAGACACTAAGCATCATTGCCTTCAGCTAAACATGACACTTCCAAATCCACTGCGTTCTGTTGCAACAAAAAACTGCATCTGAGCTTTGACAAGCAATCACATTTTCTTACACGTTACTCAATGAATTTGGAATAGATTTAGCGTCAAATGAGAGAGAAGTCACGTTCCTGTGTTTGTTCTCGATTTCTATTAATGCTTGGAACACATTGGGCATTTTCCAGCATAAAACTATACTTACATGAGTAACAATGCTAAAATCAGAGGAGTTACTTACGCAAACAGGAACTGGAAATTTAGACCCATAGTATTTTACAGTAAAATCTTTTTTTACAAAGAGAATGGTACTCTCATAGACTGTATCCAGCTATGAAAAAGGCAGACATGCCAACTAGAATGAGATTTAAAATAATCAAATTATTTCTCAATCATTGTAAGGGTAATGGGGTCATATTAGATTAGGAGCTTTTTTATAAACCAGAATATAGAAACATTTTTTTAGAGAACATAAATATCACTGAAGTGATTTCACTCTAAAGGCTACCCTCTTCTTTCTGCAGCTCTTCACAGTGTTTCACTTACCAACATTCAGTAATGCACAGTACATTTCGTGCACTAAATTTTCCTTTCAAGCTCAATGCACTAAGGAAGAGTAACTCCAAAAGAGACTAGAGCTTCTGGGTTTAAATTTAACACTATTTAAGGAAAGCAAACCTTTGCTAGGGGATATAACTGTTAACATTGTGATTTTTCAAGCCTAAGGTTTCTAATGGGGTTTGACTGTTCCAGAGATAACATTTTTTTTCCTAGGTAACATATTTCAAGTCATATTATGAGCAAATGTTACAAAATTTTAGTGTAATGTGAAATACTGTAATGTCAGATAGCATTATTTATCTGCTTAATATGACTAAAACCATTAATTGCTGGGAGCCATACTTCATCCCAGCAACATGAAAATCCATTTTGTGCCTATCTTGTCAGTTATTGCCGATTTTCTTAATGAATTGTGACGTAGTGAAATTCTGTTGGGAAACATGTTTATATATTTCCAGCTGCAGGTTCTGTATGGTAACTCTTATTACATAGATCCTCCATTAACTAAATGTTTTCATTATGCCTATGCCACAACATATCAAAGGTCCATTTTTCTTACTTAGATATCTGGAAATAGCCATTATTATTGCACATGCAGTTTTAATTATAAGAATTTATGAAATGAACTAAGTGGCTAATGTTCATTGTCTTATATTTCCATTTAATGATTTAATCAGGTTAAATCTGTCTCCTATTCCAATCAAGGTACCGTACATAACTCCCTGAGGAAAGGAGAATGGAGCTCATCCCGATCTAATTACTTACACAAGTATCTTACAATAGTTGCATAATGCTTTACTATTTGCAGTGCAGAAGTTGATCTTGATCCCAGTGAAGTTAACGGCAGAACTTCTAGTCCCTATATGGAGGCACTCAGGCCTTAGCCACCCAAAGGCAAGCAGAATGATAGGATGGTGTGACATGAGATTAGAAATAACCTTACAACCACCAGATTCTGATCTCCTTACTACTACTACTGAACACTAACTTTTAGGAATTTAGGCTGATTCATACTCATGTAAGATAGTTAGGACATAAGCCTAGTTGATGGAAGAGAGTGTCTCATGTTTTACTGGTCTGTTCAAGTAAACTTAGCCATTTTACTGTGCAATGGTGGCATCACTACTAGACAGCAAGTTACCATTAGAAAATGGATGTAGTTTTACAGGGGGGCAGAAGGAGCCACAGAAAACACTTCAAGGCCAAAGATTTTGCAAAACCTGACTCGGCTTGTGGTCAAACACTTGGAAGCATCCACCACTAATAAGCAGTGCCCTTCTCTTTCCATCACTCTGATTTAGTGTGTGCTATATTCCATTTAATATGTCCAGCAAGGAGCATATTAACCATATTCACTAATTACAAAGGAAAAATTTAGGATTATTTTCCACAGAAGTTTCAGGCACCAGTAAGACTGATGTCCCTCAAACTTCAGTACTGTATAGATTATTCCAAACACGATGAATTTCAAAACAGCCTCAGAAGAAAAAGGTACCAGCTTTCCCATAGTGTGAAATAGTGTACAAGGGACATACATGCATATGTGACATAACAGGCAATTTCACACCTGCATTCTGTCTCTCCACAGGATAAGGTAAAACATCTCAACAGATGGGAGTGTCTCTTCACTATGCCAGTGACAAGAATACAATTATCATGTATACACATTACTATTCCTATTGATAATTAAGGGATATCCATCTTCAGCACAAGTGTTGGCTCTGGTGAGGGCAGCAGAGTTCTGGAGCTCAGTTTCATATTCTGCATGTTTTGTCATTTCCCTTGTGGAAGAATTTCTTTCATAATCATAAAGTGTTCAAACATTATCTGGTCAGCTAGCATTTGAAGTTTTAGTATTTGCTTAAGTGTTTTGTAGTTAGCCTCACGTTTGTGAGGTTGGCCACATTTGTGGTCTGAAACCACCATGTACCTGAAATTCCAGGACATCTATATAGAACAAGTCATGGCATGATACTGAATCTGAATAGTAATTAAGAGTGACACATACATTAGAAATGACAATGTTTCACCATATCAACAAGAATTTAGATACGCATCAAGAGGCTTTCACAGTTAAGTGGGAAATCTTTTCTTTATATGGGAATAGCCCGACAAC